CACACATACATATACATATATATATATATATATATATATATATATATATATTACAGGAAAAAGGGCATGTCTGTCATATGCACATAAACACATGATTTACAAATAGGGTGAACGCACCAGCTCTCAACCATTTGCTCTTGTCCCTTGAAGTGTGTTGCGGATGCAAACACCGTGGGAAAACAGGATCTTCATGTGTGTGTATGTCTTGGACATGATTAAGTATTGAAGTCCACTTTGCTACTCGCTCTTGCCCCGAGGAAGAAGAAGCTGCTGTCCAATATATATGGTTTTTTATACTGCGAAGCCACTTCCGCAGTTTCTCACATTCTTTGCTCTGTGAAATCTTCAGCAGTTTCTTGGACAGTCCTAATAATACAAACAAACAAACTGTATTCCAGACATGCACAGACATGCATTATGTATTTAATTCAAAATAATATAAAAGGGACATTCATGGCCAAAGTTATGAATTCAATTCGTAACGTTTGATTCTTAACATTTTTCTGCTTTGTTGATAGAATAACCAGTGTGTGATACTAAGCGAAGCTCCACACACAGGAGCTAATACCTTTTTCTATGTGCCACACATCGTAGTACTGTGTGATGTTAGTCTCCCGCAGGAATTTCTGTACTTGAGGGTGTCGGTCTGTGACAATACTGTCGAAAATCACACCGTGTGCCCTCAAGACATCAAGGCTCCTCTTCAGACCCTCTTTCTCCATATAGTTGCTCCCTCCATCTTCATTACTCTGATTATAAAAAAGGGCAGATATGAACATGGTTGACAATTCCTGTTAGCTCAGGACTAGACATTAAAAAAAAGGTGGCGGCTATTTACACGAAGTTAAAGTGAAAATTTTATAAGTGAAAATAGCATATTTTCTTAGAGATAGAGTCTATTTACACTGTTAAAAAAGCAGGATTTTCTACTATTTATACTACTTATAGACCAATTATAGGTTTGTAAACATTCAGGATGCACGCGCATCATGGTTGCAGAAAACCCGGGAGAGATAGCCTTTACGGCTAGAGAATTTCACGGATAGGGTACAAAATAGTTAGGTTTAAAAAGATTATAAATTATATTGCTTAGATGTCATTTTCAAAATGTTCTCCGCATATTACAAGAGCTTGTCACCCAGCGATAAGCACTGTTATTCAACGAAAGTGACGTTAGAGAGTGGGATCAGTGTTGCCAGATTGGAAATGTCCAAGTATCGTACCAGAAGCTCAAAATGATCGTATTTGGAAGAAAATTACGTACATGAGTCAAACGTACAGAATACAGCTATTTATCTAGACCAACAACTTTTTGACACAACATGCAAATTACCACAATAGATAAAAAACTAGATAAATAACTCCACCTGTGAGCCTCTGTCATCGGAAGCCGGATGCCGGTTGCCAGATGTTGAGGGGGTTCATGGACCGCAAGATAGTGCTCGCTGGCTTAAAAGCAGGGCACCCTCCTGAATTCTTAACACACATTTGAAGCTAAACGCAGACGTTTAAATGGACATACTATGGATGAAAACTGTTAGGATTACTCTACTTTTAAAGCATAAATTCGATTTAAACAATAGGTCTACTATTGTTTAAATCGAATTTATGCTTTAAAAGTAGAGTAATCCTAACAGTTTTCATCCATAGTATGTCCATTTAAACGTCTGCGTTTAGCTTCAAATGGCGTCTTTGACGACAGTATTCTATAAAAATTATTTGCATTCCGATCTTGACATCAAAAGACACACACACACACATGCGCACAATCAAGGTTTTAAATGATAGGGTACTATTTCTTGGAAACACCTCTAGCTTATAGACCAATTATAGGTTTGTAAACATTCAGGATGCGTGCGCATCATGGTTGCAGAAAACCCGGGAGAGATAGCCTTTACAGCTAGAGAATTTCACGGATACGGTACAAAATAGTTAGGTTTAAAAATATTATAAATTATATTGATTAGATGTCATTTTCAAAATGTTCTCCGCATATTACAAGAGCTTGTCACCCAGCGATAAGCACTGTTATTCAACGAAATTGACGTTAGAGAGTGGGATAGTCTTCCAGATCCGAAACAGGGATGACGTTTTTTTTGTGGGCGGAGCCTATATGGAGGCAGAAAATGACAGTTTTCAAGCTTCAGTCTATGGAGCCACGGAATAAAAGAATAAAAAGAGGTAAATTTGATTTTATATTTCAAAATTCTGACTTTATTCTCGCAATTCCGAGATTATATCTCACAATTCTATAAGGAAAAACAACTTGTCATTCTCTCTTTTCCCCTCGGCTCTTCTGGCTTCAGTTTTGACAAACTCACTATTTTTGAGTTAAGTCGAGTTATAAAGTCCGAATTAGGAGATATAAACTTGCATTTGCTAGAAAAAAAGTCAGAATTGTGAGATAAAGTAAATAAATGTTATGTAAAAATGTTAATAGTAAGGTTTAAATAATATTTCATGCTGTAACTGTAGGGCTAATACAATACGTCCCCTATGAACAGCATATGTGAATATTATGTAGACCTATTGTTTAAATCGAATTTATGCTTTAAAAGTAGAGTAATCATAACAGTTTTCATCCATAGTATGTCCATTTAAACGTCTGCGTTTAGCTTCAAATGGCGTCTTTGACGACAGTATTCTATAAAAAGTATTTGCATTCCGATCTTGACATCAAAAGTCACAAAAAGATTTTTTTCTTTTATTCCATGGATTTTACCCATTTATCTCCACTTGTTCCCAGTGTTTTTCTCCAACCACTATGCGCACGCAGCTGCAAGTGATGTAACTGTTACGTCTACTCTGAATTGGTCTATTGCAAATAGTGGCAATTATCTGCACCTCAGTATTGTAGTACATTATAAAACAGTATGCATTAATAACATATTGAGTGTAAATTATCATTTTAATTCAAATTATGAAATGGATGCCACCTTATTGGGACAATAAAGCCCTCCCTACACCTACCCTAACCCTACCTGATACTTTGTCAACTTTTTAATTACTTCCTTCATTTTTATTGAAAATAAATGCCTTTCCGATATGATATGAGATTTGAAAAGGGAGAAAAAAGTTTGGCAAAAGGCAGTCTTGAACTCAGGTCAATCGCATCAAAAAGCACGAGCTTTACCATCTATGCCACTGGAACGGATGTTTCATAGTCTGCTGCTCTGAAATGGCTTACATTGACATTTGACGTCAAAATTTCAATAATTTTAATTTCATTAAATGTTTGTAACAGTCTGTATTTTTATACTCACCTGAAGTAGCTGCAGATCAATAATAGTGCTTGTCCTTAGGTCCATCACAGAGTAACTGCCAAACTTGGCAGAATGACCTTTACAGATAAAGGTGTTATGTTTAATTTGTCTTCATATGTGACCCTGGAGCACAAAACCAGTCACAAGTAGCACAGGTATATTTGTAGCAATAGCCAACAATACATTGTATGCCAAAAATCATTAGTATATTAAGTAAAAATCATTTTCCATGAAGACATTTAGTAAATTCCCTAACGTAAATGTATCAAAACTTAATTTTTGATTAGTAATATGCATTGCTAAGAACTTCATCTGGACAACTTTAAAGATGATTTTCTCAATATTTAGATTTTTTTGCACCCTCAGATTCCAGATTTTCAAATAGTTGTGTATCAGCCAAATATTAGCTTATTTATTCAGCTTTCAGATGATTTCAATAATTTCAAATTTACCCTTATGACTGTTTTTGTGATCCAGGGTCACATATGTCTTTTTATGATGCCTTGCTTTCACAGTAATCTCTAAACCGAGACAGTTTTTAGTACCTGGTAAGTTAACCCTCAAGTCACCTCCTAGGACAATGTTCTGCTGTTGACAGAGCTGCTGTAACATGCCATCCTGTGCGGTCTTCCAGCTATGAACAATTGCAGGCTCTATGTAACTTCGGGCATGTTTTCGAAAGGTCTCATAGTTTATCATTTTCAGCTGCATTGCCCGGAAGATCTTAGGTCAGAAAAAGAGGAGTGTTTTTTTCAGTATGGCTTCAGGGACAGTATGTTCATTTCTCCATGTCAAGTGTAGTTATTGAAGAATTAGTTCACCCAAAAATGAAAATTAGCCCGTGATTGACTCATCCTCGAGGCATCCTAGGTGTATATGACTTTCTTCTTTCAGATAAATCCAATCGGAGTTATATTAAAAATTGTCTTTGCTCTTCCAAGCGTTAGAATGGCAGTCAATGGCTGTTATTTTTCAACAGTCCGAAAGTAAAATAAAGCGTGCGCGCATCCATAATAAAACGTGCCTCACACTGCTCCGGGGGATGAATAAAGGCCCCCTGTAGCGAATCCATGCGTTTTTGTAAGAAAAATATCCATATTTCAAACGTAATAAACACTTTTCTCTCACTTCCGGTATCTGTCATACGCGGAAGCCGTTCCGTAGATATGCTAGTCTCGCAAGTTTGTTTACAGGAGCAAAGGAAGCAAAGTTTCCTTACTTTAGCAAAGGAAAACCAGTCTCCTCTTGGCTTATATCAAAATCCTCCGACATTCTTCTTTACAAATCCTCATTTTGTGCTGCTAATTCGTGACTGACGTTTTGTTTTGCTCTCTCTCCGCGTTCGTCACTAATCACGCGACGCCGACTTCCGCTTTTGACAGTTAGATGAAGTGAGAGGAATGTGTTCATTACGTTTAAAATATGGACATTTTTCTTACAGAAATGCATCGATTCGCTGCAGGAGGCCTTTATTCACCCCCCGGAGCCGTGTGAGGCAACGTTTTATTATGGATGGATGCACTTTATTTGACGTCTTTTGGACTGTTGAACAGAAACATCCACCTACTGCCATTCTAAAGCTTGGAAGAGCAAGGATAATTCTTAATATAACTCCGACTGGAATCGTCTGAAAGAAGAAAGTCAGATACACCTAGGATGCCTTGAGGGTAAGCATGGGCTAATTTTCATTTTTGGGTGAACTAACCCTTTAATGATATTAAACACTATAGTCAATTATTGGCTATACAGTGAAATTCTTATCCCCTACCTTTTTAAGTTTGAAGAAAGAGGCACCAGAGGCATACAGTGCAACAGAAAGCTGAAGGTTTCCTGCAGCAGTGCTTCCAAGAATTGGCTGACTATTCCATTTTCTAGAGAAATCACAGTCTGGGCACCGTTGTTCTACAGAGAGGAACGTGCCAACCCTTCTCGTCCGCACATCGGAAACACGGTAACACTCAGGGCACTGCTCAAAGAGCTCCAGTAGGCAGCTTTCATAAACAATGTATGTTGCATTCTTATGAGCCGGCTTGGAAGATTGCATCCTATTAGAATAACACAGATTTTATAAAAAAAAGTGACCCTGGACCACAAAACCAGTCTTTTTTTTAAAGAATTTGGGATCTGAAATTTGAGATCTACAACTATTTGAAAATCTGGAATCTGAGGGTGCAAAAAAATCTAAATATTGAGAAAATCGCCTTTAAAGTTGTCCAGATGAAGTTCTTAGCAATGCATATTACTAATCAAAAATTAAGTTTTGATATATTTACGGTAGAAAATTTACAAAATATCTTCATGGAACATGATATTTACGTAATATCCTAATGATTTTTGGCATAAAAGAAAAATGGATCATTTTTATGCATACAATGTATTGTTGGCTATTGCTACAAATATACCTGTGCTACTAATGACTGGTTTTGTGCTCCAGGGTCACAAATGACCAAATTACACATAACATCTTAAATATTTTGAGGAATGCAATCCAACTGAATGCAAAATGTTAAGAAAAGTCTTGTTACTCACGTCACATCTGTTGGCTTAGTCAAAGCTGTGACAGAGTCTACAGGATCATATGTAGAATCTATCGGCTCTTTGGTGATCAGACTTGAGCTGCCTCCAAACGGGTCCTCCTCTTCCTCCACCAGCTTCAAACGAGATCTCTTATTCGGCCTCTTTTTTGATGTTGATGACAGCAGTGGTTGTGAGAAGCCAACACCAATATCAGGGCATGACATAGCTGTCTGTGTGCCTATTAGGGATCCAACAATACAGTTAGTCCACAGTTCAATACATACCTCGGTTTTTGGTTCAGTTCTGATGGCTTGGCACATCAGAGTGTTTTTTTGCAAAATATTAACAACAAAAAAACTCCTGTAAACTTATGTACACTGGTAAAATCGTGGATTATTATATGCCTACTTAATTTCTTTTGAGAGCGGTATTATTTTTACCTAAAAAAGTATGTATTGGCCATTACCGAGCGCTATAAACACATGTAATGTCTGTTTCATTCATACTGGACCCCAGAAGGCGCCCTCGCGCAGAAAATCCACATATGCATCACAGAAGCAACAGAACTGATGACTTTCCAGGAAATCCCTAATATGGATAAAGGTATCGCTATCACTGTAACTGAATAAAAAGAAGATATAACGTTAAACGTTTTGAATGGTGAAACGTAAGGACAATAAACACTCGCCTGCAGCAATATATGGTTTATCTGTGTTCTTCAAGCTTTTCGGGTATTTTCATAATGATTAAGTATATTTGTAAGCCAATTGCTAATCGACATAGCCTTTATTACAGTACGTATTTTCTGCCTCATTCTGTGATAAGAAGCCACATCAGATCACAAAAGGAAGTTATTTCAAACACTTGACTAATGTTGTGACGTAAAAACAAGTTATAATGGCCTCTTTTGTTGAACAACAGGTTTAGAAAGACTTCTCATAGCAAGTCATTACAAGGGAAGATGTACGGCGTGTGCTGCTAATGCACATTATAAACGGGGAAACATTTACTCATCTCAGCACGTTAATTCACGGGCACACACAGCCAATTCTGAGAGAAATAAAACACATGGAAATTATTTAAACGCAAAACCACAATTCACGAGCGCATACTGAACCGTGGATGTCGTACCGAACGGTTTGATATTATATTGAGAACTGTGACATCCTTAGTGCCTATGTTATATAATAATAGACATTTTGCTACCGTGGAATAATATGAAATTAAAAAATGAATAGCAATTACAACTTAAAAAAACACCACAGAAACAGAATAAATGAATTCACACTCTGTAGGATCTAGATCAGCAAACCTGTGCTTTTGTAGTGAGGGCGTAGAGTTTTTATTGACAACTGGGTGCCAACGGTGCAGAGTTGTGTCATGTCCGTCTGGCAGGCCACATGATGCACCTTGGCCCATTCTTCAGACGAGCTTGACTAAACAAAAGTAAATAAGTGAATGGGTAAAATATATTACCCCGTCATTATATATTTAAAGACATCAATGGGAGTGCTAATCGTCTTGAATCATACGTAGTTGCAGGCTGTACAAACTATTTGGAAGGTATTGCATTAAAGTCACCATTCTTATTCATGCAGTTATAACAGCTCAAAAAATATTTAATATACATTTGTAAAGGACTAGTCATTACCAAACACCTTTATAAGCCCTCTACAAAGGTAACCTTAATGTAGTGTTACCATGTCATCTTTACAGAAAACAGACAGTTTATAATAACACAATCACCTTAATGTAATGTTCATTATAAACGTGCGGTTATGCATGTTATTGAGAATGTTATAAATAGAAATGATGACAATGTTCTCTGAGACTGTTAAAGGATAAGTTCACTTCCAGAATAAAAATTTCCTGAAATTTTATTTACCCCCATGTCATCCAAGATGTTCATGTCTTTCTTTCTTCAGTCGCAAAGAATTTTAAGTTTTTTGAGGAAAACATTTCAGGATTTTTCTCCATATAGTGGACTTCAATGGTGGCCAACGATTTGAACGTCCAAAATGCAGTTTCAGTGCAACTTCAAAGGGCTCTACACGATCCCAGCCAAGGAATAAGGGTCTTATCTAGCGAAACGATCTGTCATTTTCTGAAAAAAATTAATATTTATACACTTTTTAACCACAAAAGCTGGGCTTGCTCTAGCTCTTCGATGTGCGTCTTCACACATTACGTAATCCTGTTGGAAAGGTCATGTGCAGTTAGCTCTTCCTCTTTGTACTTCAGTTAAAACGCCATCTTATTTTCTCCTCCAACTTTAAAATCATCCGGCATAGTTGTTTTACCTTTTTAGTAAAGGGCAATGACTTTCTTTTGCATGTTGGTTTCGTAAACACTGGGTCAGTACTTCTGCCTGTGTCACGCGCAGTGTTGGGAGTAACGCATTACAAAAGTAATAATATTACAGTAGTAACGCATTACAATTCAGAGACAGTAATATTGTAATGTAACTAATTACTTTCAAAAGACAGTAACTAGTAATATATAATGTATTACATTTTGGAAGTAACTTGCCCAACACTGGTCACGCATGACCTTTCCAACACATCAGCTAATAAAGACACACATGCGCATTGCAGAGCTAATGCTAGCCGAGCATTTGTGGTTAAAAACTGTATAAATATTACTTTTTTCCAGATAATGACCGATGATTTCGCTAGATAAGACTATTATTCCTCGGCTGGGATCGTGTAGAGCTCTTTGAAGCTGCAATTTGGACTTTCAAATCGTTGGCCACCATTAAAGTCACGATATGGAGAAAAATCCTGGAATGTTCTTTAGCCGAAACTTGCTAAGCACATTTCTAGGAAAAGTGATTTGCAAATAAAAAAAAAATAAAAAAAAACATTTACTCACTTCTGCTGAAGGTGAAGCTGGATCACGAACAGTTGGTACCGAGCCATCCCTCAGGATCAATTTTGTAGCAAAACCTGCTTTGTACTGACCCTCATTTACAAAGCAGTCTTGTGTAAAATGATTCGAGCAGACATAGACGCATTTAGGTAGATCAGGGGGCGCATCCCCTTCAAAAACAAATGAAATCCACTGCGTCTTCAGCGGCTCAGATGTTGGGACTAAGTGACGACAGCCATGTTCATTCTTACAGCCAACAACAGAGCACCTCAATCGCTTGGGAGCCATTCTCCGGCGTCGAAACAATGGCGGACTGTTTACAGCTCACTCAGGGCGGGTCTGTGATAAAACACCAGCAATCAGCAATCATCAATCAACAATCGTGGGAGGAGCCTGTGCAACGTGACATCACACAGACAAGAATCTGAGAACGGCTTGATCTGAGACATTGATTTTTATTTGTGACCCTGCAGCACAAAAGCAGTCATAAGTAGCACAGGTATATTTGTAGCAATAGCCAACAATACATTGTATGGGTCAAAATTATCCATTTTTCTTTTATGCCAGAAATCATTAGGATATTACGTAAATATCATGTTCCATGAAGATATTTTGTAAATTTTCTAACATAAATTGATTAGTATTGTTCATTATAAACGTGCGGTTATGCATGCTATTGAGAATGTTATAAATCGAAATTATGACAATGTTCTCTGAGACTGTTAAAGGATAAGTTCACTTCCAGAATAAAAATGTCCTCATATGCATTGCTAAGAACTTCATTTTGACAACTTTAAAGGCGATTTTCTCAATATCTTGATTTGTTTTGCACCCTCAGATTCCAGCCAAATATTGTCCTATCCTAACAAGCCATACATCAAAGGAAAGCTTATTTCATTACAATTTCATAATTTTCAGAAAAAAAAAAGAAAAAAAAAAACACCTTATGACTGGACCTTTTGTGGTCCTAGGTACTAGGTGGATTTTTATCATTATAGGGTGGTTGTGTACACACACTGCCAACACACATTTATGTTCAAACACCATATAAAGGTAAGTTTGCATCTGATGACCCCTTTAATACATTTGGCCAAAATCTGGAAAAGATGGTGCTGTATTGGCTATGACTAAGTGCAAGAAAGGCTGCTAGATCAAGACTCTCTTCGTGTGTTTTTCTTTTTGGGTAAAGAAAACTCTGTACTTTATTATTATTGTAAAGCCTATCTATGACAAGCAAAACATTTCTATACCTGAATCATCCTTGTAATCGTCATTTATTAGCAACTGAAATGCTCTAAAGCAGGTAACGTTACACACAAATAGGCTTAGCTGGTAGCAAGTTGCAAAGTGCAATACTTTACTTTACATCTAATTTAAACAGTAATTCTAAACAGTGAAAAAGACCAGCTCCTTAAACAGAGCCAGACAAAACACCCTCATTATTGTGCTATAATCATTCAAAATCATTTTTAAAAGACCAACACATCTAATAACATATAAATACAAACATACACATTTCAATACATTTAAATACAGCACAATATAAAACAAACATACACTTCAATCGCATACCTAGCACCAGCTCCGACAACAGTTCTCCAGCTCTGGCATAAACCCTCGTTGCCGTCTGCACAACATATTTTATAAACATAATTATACAAAATATCACACTTTAGTATTAGCCTACATCAAACATTGTCACATACCTAACAACAGCTACAACTGTTTTCCAAACCTGGCACAAACCTGCACAAAATATTTTAACGCACATGATTACAAAATATCACGCATTTAAAAAGTGTTACAGCCAACATAACCAATAAAACTTGTATTTACCTCAAACAGAGAAATCACAGTTACCATTGCTCCAAAGCTAATGCTATTCCATTCATAAAGGACGCGAGGCTGGAAACTACCGTACTCACCCTACCAAAGAGGACTACCGTAAATACTCTATTAAATACTATTAAATAGTATTATTATTATTATTATTATTCGTTTTTAAGCCCTGGTAAAAAAAAATATATATATATATTATCTACTTCCTTGATATCATCTTAATCATCTTAATTTCTATTTTTTTTTATTGTTTGTTTCTCTATTTTCTTAATCTGATGGAGCAGAAAACATTATGCTCTCAACAGATGGTCTGACAATCCATCAGACTGCAGTCGCTGTACGACAGATCTCTGATACAGCCATTCCATATGATCACTCTAAGATCCTGAACAAAATAATTATATAACCGAAACTTGGTAGAGTGGGGTAAGATGAGCCATCGTTTACTTGTGTGGTCCTCAAGATAAGGGAAAATGAGGCAGAAGTACAATGAAAGTATCTAAAATTTCAGAATGTTTCCTATCATTTTAAATGGTCAGAATGTATCTATGACAAAGGGTTCTAAAAAATATGGCTTCTTATAAAAAAGTGTTTCTGTGGCTCAATTTGCCCCAGGGTGGGGGTAAGTTGACCCGAGTCAGTAGGTAAGATGCACCATCTGGGTGTTAAATGACCATCTGACTGAATCTGTTTCAAACCCATGTTCAATTTTAAAGATTATCTCTTTTAAAAACTAATTTAATAATCAAATTTCCTTTTTCAAACAGTCATATTTCTTTTCTTAAAGCTAACTTAAACAACATAAAACCAACCAAATAAAGTTTACATTTCAGTCTTTAATTGTTTGCATTTCTGAAACAATGCGTTGAACACCGTAATTGTAATCCTTCCCAAAAACAGACTAAACAGAGTTTGTTGAAGTGCTTTTGCTTTCGCCTAGAAACACACAGCGTCTCCTTGACATGGCTGCTTCAACACTAACTGCTGTTCCTGAAACCACGCCTTCTTTCTTTGCTTGCACATTTGGGCCGCATTATGCAAATATTTCCACATAGTGAGGTAGATATGTTGGGACGTTTTAGAACGAGCCGTTTTAGGTAGGCGTGGCAGAGTCTTAACTTTGATAAAGAATATCTCTTTGGCTTTGAGACTTTAGTCTTTGCAACTTCAGGGATCTTATCTATGCACAATCAGCTTGTAACACTCCAAAGAGAAAGGAAAACTTGAAATCGCATCATATGACCCCTTTAAATAAAAAAATGAATTAGAATGAAAGAATAAATGTCACTGAAACTAATAAACATTTTAGTCAAAAGATTATTGGCATGGTAGCTTTTCTGCAATGTTTAACAGTCCATTAGGGACTACAGGTGGAAAGATGTATATGATTATGTGATGAAAAGCATCTGGTTCTTGAGAAGGATTTGGTGCACTTGTACACTGTCCCTATCAAATAAACTACGACTAATATTATGATAAACTAAATCAGTTGTAATACCAGTTTATACTTCAGAGATTTAACTTAACTTCAGTGCCTTACGGTGGGGTAAGTAAAAATGCTGGCTCAATTTACCCCACAACATTTGGCTCGCTTTGCCCCATAGCTGCCATTTGGGGAGGGGGGGTAGCTCGCTTACCAATTCAGGCTAATATTTAGCTAAATAATTTGCATGGTTGCTAAAGCAACTGCATGCATTATAAATATTTTAGACCTTGATCAATTTCTTTGATGAAACAGCCATTACATCTGTTATGCTGAAATTATACCTTGACAAGCCAAAAACAGTTTTTAAAGTAATTGGGTGCCTTCATCTCCTCCCATGTGTTTCTTTTCTTCACAGTCTGGCAGAAATGATGGGTGCTTCCAAAATACATGGTCACATGACAGTAAAAGTGAACAGTTACCAAGCTACAGGGGGTGGGTCACCTTACCCACTGGCTCATCTTACCCACTCTCCTCCTATGTATCATTAGGGAGAATGTCATTTGGATAAAAACAGTGAAAAAGCTTGAGACTGCACTGAATGAGAAGCAGTGATACACTGTAAAAAATTGCTGTAAAAAAACGGCCATATTCTGACAGTAACATCCTGTTTTTTCATTACAACATTACAATCCTGTAAAAAAAACAATGTATTCTGGGTAATATTTGTTATTTTCAAGAAAGTATCCTTCTGCAGTCCTTGTAGTATCAGCATTCAGATTCGACACTCAGAGACTGTTTCAAATCACACCCTACATCAGTGTTTGCTTTAGTTGGGCTCTTGACCCTTCACTTTTTAATGCTAGCTTGTCTGGTTGTTGTAACTGTGTTTGTAAAGCACATTTGTTGTAGCAATAAAAGCGTAGAAAAATTATGCTTATATGGTTCTGGTTAATTATTCTATCATAATTTTTGCTTTAAAACTACAGCATCTCTTAGACACACAGAGACATCAAGAATCAGCACATGAATCTCAACAATGGTGACAATCAAAAGCTGCATGCTGGGTACCAGCACAGGAAAAAAACTCATCCATGATTCCCAGCATGCATTGCGGCATGAATAAATTATGCAGCTGAATTGTCCACTTATTTTCTTTAATTCTTACTAGGTGCTTTTATTTTTGCTTTTGTTTTTGTGTTGAGTTTTAGTAGCGTGTTTTGTGATGTTCAGAGTCGATCTGTTTATTAATTTTTTTGATTGTCACCGTTGTTGAGATTTTTAGTAGCGTGTTTTGTGATGTTCAGAGTCGATCTGTTTATTAATTTTTTTGATTGTCACTGATTCATAAGCTGATTTTTCATGTGTGTGTTTCATAGTTAGAGCTCCTTTTTTTTTTTGAGTGATGTGTGTGATCTTTCATAATAGCCCGCTTGTTCTTTTGCTCTAATATGTTACCATAACATCACTTTGGTACAAAAAGAGACTCTGGACAAAATCAGTGAACCTGTTTTTTTTTAAAGATGGTAATGTCATTTGTGAATCTTAATCATCAGCATTACATATTATACTTTAGCCATTTTTTACCACAACAAATGCATTGAGAAACACAATGGTTAAAGCAGCCAAATATAGACAATGTTAAAAAATCAAGGCTCAAGATTCCAACTAAAGCAAATACTGATCTCCATCATGGTAGTGTCCGAAAACAACAGCATCTAAACCTCTGTTAATTTTCAATAAGCACTTCTGTACACATCTGACAGAAATAGCATCAGTCTGGTTAGTAATGTGAAGCTGGTGATGCTGTTTTAGGAGTTGTTTAATCAGATCTTGAGAGATTTCATGTCTTTTATTTCAGTTGATATCATCTAAGGCTGTGGCTGAAGTCAGTTGTAGTTCTTGTGTTTCTCTTTTCTTCAGTGATTCTGCTTGTTAACAGCAGCTGTTCATCACTAATGCTCAATCATCACTTAATTAATCACAGAATTATCTCATTAACTTCAGCACTGCTTCACTCTGTAGTGTGGACACATTATAAGTGTTCATTTAAAACTGAGTATTTTGTTGTGGGGTTTAAAGGGTTAAATATGTAAGATGGGAAAAAAACAGCATGAAATGTAATTTAACAGTAATAAACTGTAATTATTTTACAGCCACAAACTGTAAAAAAAAACAGTTATTTACTGGCACCATGGTTGCCAGTAAATAACTGTTTTTCTACAGTTTGTTGCCGTTAAGTCCAGGAAAAAACAGCAATATACTGTAAAACGTAAGAGTCAGATTTACCAAATGAAAAAAGTTAATTTGACTGAAATATTTGTGAACATTCATAGAAAAAAATTATGCAAAGTCATGAACTGATAAGGAGAGTAAATATTGAACTGAACTGTATTATTGTGTTTTGGCACAAGAGAGATCTGTTAGTTTAATGTAGTTTTGTAGGTCACCATTGTGCTGGAGAGTAGAGCCTGTGCTTCAGTCAATGATGAGCCACAAGCACGGATGTTTTGCTGCTTTATTTAAAGGCAGTAACTGTGGAGTTGTTGATACAGTAATGATCTCTTTGTTACTTCATCTCACACACGTGTGCTATAGCTAGCAATGAACTGCAATGATTTTAGTTAAAGTCATGTTTTTAGTTATTTTGCTGTTACACATTAAGTGTTTGCAGTTTTATACTAAGAAATATTCCTTCTCAGTGGACTCAAATGAAATAAGTTCACAGTACTAACATCGTATGAATGCTAGTTTTTAAACTCGAACTGTTTGAAGCAATGGGAGCGGAGTTAATTTCCATGGTAGAATTACGGTAAAACACTGTAAAAATTAAGAGTTGTAAATTAACGGTTGAGAGCTGTAAATTAACAGTACCTTACTGGCAACCCTGCTGCCAGTAAATTACTGTTATTTAACGGCACAATTTTTTACAGTGTAAAAAGTACAAGAGTAATGTGTTTTAAATAACAACTCTTTAGCATTTTGTTGCTGTACCCTGATATATATAGTATTTTTGTTTGCTTTTACATATCTATCCTCCTGAGACCCTCCGTCCTCAGTATAGAGGACATTATATTTTAGTGCATTTCTCTGAGACTACATGCCACGGATGTCCTGTAATGAGCACATCTAGGGCTTTTCAGCAATACCAAGTGTTTGGAAGTTGGTCTCGTTGGTCTTCAGAATTGGCTGACATTAATTTAGAGATCAAATGTAACACTCATATGGAAATATGATAATATTTTGTAATTAACGTTTAAATCTGACAAATTTTTAAACTGTTTGTCATAAATCAACATCTCGGGAACATGTTATAGAACAGAACTGACAGAAAACTTCCCACATTCTTCAAAATAACTTAACATACCATAACATATTCAGCAGAAGAAAAAAATATATACAGGTTTGAACAACTTGCAGGTGAATAAATGATGACGGTCTTTTTGAGGGGAACTATCCCTTTACTGACCCAACACATATCATAATAATGTTTTAAATTTTTACATCATAATAGTTATGCTAATTTATATATATTTTGGGCAAAAATTTATTTCTTTTTAAATTATTGTTTAATAGAAATATATTAGTTTTGGCTGAGTTTGGAATAACACCAGCGTTCTACTCATTTGTCTTCATCATTTCAATCT